CTTTATTTTGATTCATGTGATCTGCAGTATAGATTATGCACATTATAATTGTCTGCAACCCAAAACATGGCTGATGAACCCTGGTCTACAGGGGCTGAAGAAGATATTTCAGAATTACTAGGTTTTTGGACTTTGTCCATCATCCATTAATCTAGAAACTAGAAGACACTACTTTCCAGGAACTGGATCTGTTTCCATCCTCATGTGAGGGGTGGGAGGACACCTACTTCAGTCCCTTACAAAGTGATTAAGGTTATTTTTTGTCTTTGGGAACTGGATCAGTTTCCATTCTCAGGTGAAGGGGGGAAAGAAGACACTTAGTCTGTAGAGTCTTTTAGAAAGTGATTGAGGTTAGGTCTTTTTATTTGACCCAACAAAATAAGTGTGTTCCCCCCTCACCTGAGGACAGAAACAGATCCATTTTCCAAAACATTGTTTTATAGTTACTTTCTGAAATGTGCTTTCTAGTATGTAGAATACCAGACAATAGACAAGGTCCAGAAACCCAGTAATTCTGGGTCTTATACACCATCGTCAGAACCCTTTAGGTTCTGTAGGAAGATATTTGTTAAATGGAAGTTCCTATTTATGAAATATACTTTGTCTGTTTGGAAGTTCCGATCATGATCTTCCTACAATCTCACTCTTTTTTTTTAGATTCAGTTACCATGATTTAATCATACACTTGTTCGAAAAATGTTATGATCAAAACCTTTGTTATTTCATTTACAGAAATAACATGCCATAAAAATGTTAACTCCCTATACGATCCATCTCTAAAAGTCAGATTTATGCAGAAGATCACAACTCAGTGACACATCATATTCAGGACATGTAATGTTCAAATCTCAGACTGTCAGACTCAGGCTATCCTGACAAAGGTTTCTTATGGTTCAGCTAAATCTTTCAGGCTGAAGCCCTGATAATACCTTAAAACTAGTCATTGCTTTGTTTCACAGCAATTTCAATCCATCATTCACAAATTTGCCCTTTCACAAAAACTGGCTAGGACCAGAATGAGGAAGTCAGGTTAACGAAAGATAAATTATCAGTCCAAGTCTTCTTATATTTATTGAACTTCATCACATTCTTCGCATGTTTTCACTAAATGCTGGTAAAATAATAAGCTTTAAATGATATGAAACATCAGTCACGTTATTGAATCCCAGACCTGGTCTTTGTTTGCACATCTTGTTTCTTATGTGCATTATAGGGTCTTATCAGTTGCATGTGTATGCTTGCAGAAGGCTTGCTGTGTAACATAACAAAGAATGAGCTTGCCATATTACAGTGCCTTCATGCTTGTTCCTTAAGTTCCTGCTGCTGTCCTTGTCACGTGCTGAGGACAAATTCTTTGTTAATATCATGTTTCATGCATAAGAGTGTGTTACTTACATGCGTGCACGTGCACACAGATATATATACAAGGGATGGACAAAAATATGGAAACACCTCGTGAAATGCATGCCTGAATTGAAGTGTTTATTTTAGCAACGTTTGTAGGTCACACTTTCTTATCTGCCCAACACCACTACCTATACAACCTCCGCAATACGTTGCAAGCTTCATTTGTTGTGAAGACAGTGTTCTGTGCAATTTTTTATGCATCACGTCAGAGCTAACAGAATTCAAACGTGGGCAAATTGTTGGGGCCCATATGGTGGGTGCTTCTGTAACCAAGGTAGACGAGGTTTTTGATGTTTCGCGAGGCACAGCATCCAAGATTATAACCGCATACAGGAGGACTGAAAGAACTGTGTCCGATAAACACCAGTGTGGATGGAAATGTGTGTTGAGTGATCAAGACAGACAAACATTGCGTAGGATTGTGACAAAAAATAAGAAGACTACAGCTGAAAAAGTGACTGCTGAACTGAATGTCACGCTTACAAACCCTTTCAGCACCAAAACAGTATGAAGGGAACTCCACAAGCAGGGTATTTCTGGACGAGCTGCAATTCCAAAGCCACTCATCAGTGATCAAAATGGCACTAAGAGGACAGTATGGACTATGGAGCAATGGAATCATTTGGTCGGATGAGTCCACCTTCACACTCTTTCTGACTTCTGGCTGAGTTTACGTCTGGAGAATGCCATCCCAAGCTTATGATCCAGATTGTTTACTGCCAAGAGTGAAACATGGCAGGGGTTCGATCATGGTATGGGCAGCCATATCGTGGTATTCTGTCGGACCCATCATTACCCTGCAAGGTCACGTCACTGCCAACGACTGTGTGACCATTTTGGGCAACCAGGTCCATCCCATGGTGCAAAATTTGTTCCCTAATGGTGATACCATTTACCAAGCCAACAATGCCTGTGTTCACATAGCTCACATCGTCCAGGAAGATGAAGTGTCACGTCTGCCATGGCCCCCACAATCGCCAGATATCAATATTATTGAGCTTTTGTGGTCTGTTTTGGAGAGCAATCTGCGTGCGCACTATCCACCTCCATCATCAATAACAGAACTTACCATGTTTTTCAGGAAGAATGGTGCAAGATTCCCTTGCATATCATACAGGACCTCTATTTATCCATTCCAAGGAGACTGCAAGTAGTTCTGCAAGCCAGAGGTTGCCCTACACTATATTAGTTATGGTAATGTGTTCTTTTTTGTTGGGTGTTTCCATATTTTTGTCCATCCCCTGTATATACAGGGTGTAAGTCAAAGGTGCTGACAAACCTTGGGCATGAGTTCCACATACCAAAGCAAGAAAAAATGTCCCTATCAGCAGGTGTCACAAAACATACTAGGTGGTTCAAATATGACCGAGACTGATTTTTTTTGTAAACAAGCCGCACCGCGCAGCAGCTGTGCGACCTTGAGAGAGTGAAGTCACAACATCCACCCTCCATCCTGTTAGGGTTAGAACCTGTTCAGTCCTGTCTGGAAGTTGCTAGAGTGATAAGTGAACAGAAGGTACTGCGGAGCGTGGAACAACGCATTGTGATCAAATTCCTCGTTGGAGAAAACGTCCCATCTGCTGAAATTCACCACATACTCCAACAACAGTATGGGAAAGAGTGTCTCTCACAGACCCGTGTGTTTGAGTGGTGTAAGTGCTTCAGAGAGGGCAGAGAGCGCGTGGAGAATGAACCGCATGATCGTCGGCCGTGAACATCCGTCACCAAGCCAAACATTGATCGTGCAGATGCACTTATTCATGAGAATAGGCGCATCACTATCAAGGAACTTGGAGCAATGCTGTCCATCAGTGTTGGTAGTGTAGAAGACATCATGAAATAACACCTGCACTATCGTAAGGTGAATGCACAGTGGGTACCACGCACTTTGACAGACGTGAACAAAATGGTGCGCATGCAAGTTGCCAGTCGTCTCCTACAGCACTTTGAAGATGAAGGTGATGCATTTTTGAAGTCTATAGTGACCACCGATGAACCGTGGGTGCACTACTTCATTCCCGAGTCCCAGCAATCATCACGTGAGTGGTGGCATACCAGTTCTCCCAAACCCAAGAGAGCGCGGAGGAGCCGTTCGGCAGGAAAAGTAATGGCAACGTTCTTCTGGGACTGGCAGGGGGTTATCCATGTAGACTTTTTGACAGATGCCAGAACAGTCAATGCAGCTTATTACTCAGACCTTCTGACAACAGACGTGAAGGAAAAGATCCGATCCAAGCAGAAGAGAGGTGGAAAGTGGGTAGTCTTCCTTCAAGACAATGCATGCCCCCATGCGGCCAAAACAACAATGAAAACCCTCTGGAAACTGAAATGGAACCTTCTGACACATCCGCCATACAGTCCCGATTTGGCACCAAGTGATTTCTACCTGTTGGAAGGCTCAAATCAGACTTGCAAGGCATGCGGTTTGTGGACAACGACGCCGTCACCCAGAATGTTCGGGAGTGGATACGCCGCCAACCACAAAACTTTTTTGAAAAGGGCATCAGAATGCTTCCAGAACATTGGAAAAAATGTGTTGACTCCGGAGGGGAGTACGTTGAAGACTGACAAGTGCAAGTAAGTGTTTGGCAATTTTGGTTTAAAAAAAAATCAGTCCTGGTCATATTTGAACCACCTTGTACAATTTGTGAGTTAAAGCCGAAAGAGTACATTTATAATAAGAGCTCAAAATGTCCTCCATGAGAATCAGTGCACACCTCAGCACATCCAGAGATGGATAGTTGTGGATAGTCCGACAGGCATCCATAATATGATGGTGAAGTTCCTCTTTGTTGTCAACAGGAGCTGCATGCAGAAGGCTTTTTAGGAGTCCCCTACAGGTTGAAATACAGATGATTCAAATCTGGCAAGGGTGGAGGCTGTACAGTGGGTCCTGCTTTATCTATCCATCAGTTATGATACATGTGTGTTACTGAGAATAGCTAAAATGTGCTGCAGCACTGTCATGCATGTACCACATTCATGCTCTGCCTCTGATACTTCTTCCAGTGTCTTTGGCAGATGGTGTAAGAGGACATCTCAGTAGTGGTTGCCTGTAAGCTGATGTGGCAAAACATGTGGGCGTGCCAGGCAGTCACCAACAATCCCTGCCCACAATTTAATGCTGAACTGCTGCTGGTGTCTACATAGTATTCATCAGCCATAACTCACTAATTAAATGTTCCCAGTTACATGATGATATGGACATTTTTTCTGGTTTTGGTACTTGGAACTTGTGCCCAAAGTTCATCCACACCTTTCAGTTACACCCTGTGTGAGTGTGTAGACACACACATATTATTAATGGGGGGGAGAGGTTATAGTTTCCGAAATTCTGCTATGGAAAATGATGGAACTGGAATTATGATGTGAAGTACAGTATTTTCTGTAGCAATGTGTTTACAGACACTTCTAATTTATGATCTTCCCATGAAATATAGACCAGTTCTCACATGGGTACAACACAGCAGGCAGTGGTTTAAGCTGAATTACATTATTTTCATGGAATATCTCACAGGGCTTATTATACAGTACTTCAATTTGAAACCATATTCAATTTATGATATGTCTTTAAGAGGAAGGACATCTTGCAGGATGAGAGTTTGTTGAAAATCCGAGAAGAAGAAGAGAGGCGAAAGGAAGTGTCAGCCAATTTCCAGACTACCCTCAATGAAATTACAGCCCTAATGCAGCAGAATAATGAGAAAAACTCGAAACTTAGAGAAGACAACCTTGAAATGACTAAAAAGTTTAAAACAGTTTGTGAACAATATTCGTTGAGAGAACAGGTATGTGTGTGTTCCTTCAGAAAGTATTTCATGAAAGGGTTATAGTGACAGGTCTTCTTTGTCAGGGTATTGTATCCTTTAGATGAGCTGAAATGTGTTTTTTTAATAGTAACATATTTTAGATGCTAAATCTTTAGGTGATTATTGTTGACATGAAACTATAAATATGATATAACTCCACACGGTAGGGTAATTGTTTTTACTGGCAATCTCTAAAGGCCCTGTATGTGCAAAGAACACTAGACGTTTTATTTTAATGTGGAAGTAGGAAAGTGGAACAGCTACTCTGACTTCAGCAGAAGTCCTAAGTGTTTTGAGTTTTATGTTATGTTTGCATAAATGTTGAGGATGCGCCAAGCAGGTTGGTGTGACAGGAACACAGGTGACATACAGGTTTACTAGGTTGTCCTGATTGAGGCTTTCCATAGTTTTCCTCAGTCTCTTCAGTTGATTGTGTAGTATCATGCTTGAAATATGCCATAACCACATATCCCAGAATCATACATGCTCACTATTCGTGATTGTCTTCTCATCTCATTTAAGACTAAATAACATCATAATTAGGAAATATATTATTAAACTAGCTGTGCCTGGCCACACCTTGCTGTGGCTCAGTCTGTCCGTTCCTCCCCAGTTTGATTTGAAATTACTCGACGCATTGCTTCCACTTCGCAAGTACGACGACCTAAGCTTCTTCTTCTGCGAGGCATTATTTGGACGAAATATTTCAATTCAAATGCAGATCAATCGACACAGCTCAATCCCACCTCCAATTGCACTGAAAAATAAGGAGAAGATTTAAGAAAACAAAATGAAAAACAATGAAAAATAAACTATACTCACGAAATGAATGCTATGGTAAATGACACAGCTCAATTCCAACGCCCAAATCCAATTTATATTTATATAGATATAACGTTAGAAACCTTAGAAGTTGAACCGGAAGAAGTAGATACAGACGAGAATCCAACGCCCAAATCCAATTTATATTTATATAGATATAACTTGTTTGGGCATGTCACGCGAGTATTTATTGTTCTTCGCTTTTACACTTATACACTTTGCAAGAATTGCCACTTGCAGTATCAGAACTAATTCGGACAGGATAGGAAATGCTAGCACAGAACACCTTGTAGAAGTGTT